TGAAAAGGGTTGTCAAGCCTTGGAATGGGCTGCTCAGGGAAATGGTGAAATCACCATCCCTGGAGGTGTTTAAAAGCCGGGCAGACGTGGTGCTGAGGGACATGGGTTAGTGGTGGTTTAGGTTGATGGTTGGACTCAATGATCTGAAAGGTCCCTTCCAACCCGGACAATTCTATGCAGCACTTTCCCCCAGCAGGATGAACAGAAACAAATGCTTCATGCAACATAGCACAGCGATTAATTACATTTTTAGGTATAGTCTGTCCTGCCAAAGATGGACTTGGGTATATTCTCTCCAAAGCTGAATAAAAATTTACACAGACTTCCTAAAACACCTTATTTTCACTGCAAGATTAATCAAAGCAACACTTTTGAGATCCTTTTGTTGCAATCTATTGTGCTGCAACCCAAGAGCTGTTGGAATTAGACCTCGAGAGAAAAGGTCATCTTTTTAAGGTAGATTCTCCTATTATTTCTTTTTTTATTTTTTTGATAAATAAAATCCTACTCTTTGAATTTAGCAACGTGATTGTTACAAACCAGCTCTGACAGCGACCAAATGGATGTTCAAAACAGCACATTCCCCCTGAAGTACCAGCAGGACGAACAGAAACAAATGCTTCATGCAACAGAGCACAGCGATTAATTACATTTTTAGGTATAGTCTGTCCTGCCAAAGATGGACTTGGGTATATTCTCTCCAAAGCTGAATAAAAATTTACACAGACTTCCTAAAACACCTTATTTTCACTGCAAGATTAATCAAAGCAACACTTTTGAGATCCTTTTGTTGCAATCTATTGTGCTGCAACCCAAGAGCTGTTGGAATTAGACCTCGAGAGAAAAGGTCATCTTTTTAAGGTAGATTCTCCTATTATTTCTTTTTTTATTTTTTTGATAAATAAAATCCTACTCTTTGAATTTAGCAACGTGATTGTTACAAACCAGCTCTGACAGCGACCAAATGGATGTTCAAAACACCACGGTGAGCCTGGTCCTCTCCTGCACTTTGAGAGGACTACGTTCACCCCACTATTGTATACCCAACTACTTCAAAAATCAAACTCTGCCTTTGAAAATGTCAAAGGCAACCTATTCAGGAGCAACCACCACATGGTGTATTTGTCCTCTTCCATTCATCTTGCCATCAGTAGGACACACACAAAAAAAGGACATTTCAAACCTGAAGTGACTACGTGCTGCTCTATACGACGTCCTCACCGCAAGCTCTCCAAAATGTTAGATGATGGCATGAAATGGCTGAAATACACAGTTTTTTCAGATGAAAAAGGACAGAAATGATCATTAGCAGTATAGTCACGGATTTGTGACTGGGGAAGAACAATCGTTGGGCCAGCAAGTGAGGCATTATTTTGACTTTTAAAGGTGTTTTTAAGAGCAGCTGAGCAAGCAGCTGCAACCTCGTCTTCCTGATGGATTCCCAGTCCCCAGCTCGTGTCTGGTTTTAGTGGAAGGACAGACCTCCTGGATGGAAGCCACCACCAGCAGCTCCCAAAGGTTCAGGGATGGGGGAATGTTCTTCTTCAAAGGCCAACCACAACGGCTGGGACCCATGAGGGCACTTACCTGCTCACTGGCTTAAACACCAGCCTCTAAACTTGAGGTCCTCCTCAGCTTGGAGACATCTGCAGTCCCTCTGCTCTTCAGTTGGTGAAGTCCTCTGCGCTGTCATCGCGCCGTCTCTCCGTGTCACCAACAAGGACCGCAACGCTCGTTCCTGAGCCTCGGAGATCACAATGAGCATCCTCCATCTCTCCTGCCTCTGCTCAGCGCAACCACCACAGCACATCTCTAAATCATAGAATGGTTTGGGTTGGAAGGGACCTTAAGGATCATCCAGTTCCAACCCCCTAGACCACCTCCCACTAGACCAAGTTGCTCAAAGCAAGGAGATGTCCAACCTGGCCTTGAACAACCCAAGATGTCCACCCGTCCCAGTGCCACATGGCCTTGATGCCCCAACACACCGTCCCTTTTTTCTCTTCCACAAATAACATCTGCAAATCATTATTGAAATACCTCGCACCGAAACCATTCTTCAAACAACTGCAAGAAGAAGCAGTTTGAGAAGTCCCCGTGCTGGTGACGAAGTCTAAATCCCCTCCCCATGATGTGAAAAGCCACCCAACACCACACAACCCCGGAACGCAAATATTCATGCGACGCGTGTGCCAATTACAGGTCTTGGTGATCATCTTGGTGATCGTCTTTTCCAACCAGGATGATTTTAGTGATTTGCAGAAGAAACCTAGAGGCGAGCACAGGAACAAACATTTCAAGTCTCACAATAAGCAAAATAATTACACGCCACCAAGCAAGGAAGGCTCAGGCCTTAAATTTTATTGTTGTCGACGAGAAATAGATCTGGCTTGTGTTTGGCTGAGCACACTCAGGTGACAAATTAAAGCCACCCTTCTCATTCCCCACCCTCACCCCCCCCTTTCCCAGCACGTGTTTTGGAACAACGTTAAATAACAGCTCACGAGCTGAGATGGAAAATCCAGAGCTTCTCGTGAAGTTAAATGTTACCCTTGACCTGTGGGCCCTCAAGCTCCCACTAACTCCTTAGAAGACAATATTCAAAAGCAAAACTCTTACTTTCGTGGCCGTGATAAATAGTCCTTTACGCTTCTGGTGAAGACTTTTAGCCCAAATTTAACAACCCACAGAAAATGGCTTCTGGTTTCAGAGGACGTGGCGACCGATGTGCGCCGAGGAAAACGCTGGCGAGGTTTGATCACTGATGATTTCACCTCCATGTTTAACCCCACTGTAGCAAATAGTCATCGAATCTGTCCGAAGAGAGTTTTAAAAGTCACCTCTCTCCTTGCTGATCTTATCCTTCAGGTTCAAACTCCGTCGGCTCCCAGACATCTGATTTTCACTCGATGCCTTCGGCCGCGTTCGTTTGTGCACCTCCCGTCAGATGCTCCTCTTCTGGGTGGCACCAGGGAGTGATGGGACACGACTGTGGCTGATGCCACCTCCTCCTCTCTGGGCACACGCTCACCCGAGTGTTGGCGATCCCGTTCCTGGCCTTTTTGGCCACTGCTGGGTGCACGGCGAAGCTGAGCAGGACCACAGGCCCAGTCGTGGGCTACTGGGGCCAGATGATTCGGATTCGGATCCGCTCCGCCACGGGGGCCACTTCTTGGGTGCCTGAATTTCTTCCACCATGAGTAAAAGTGCTGAGCTTTAGTTGAGGTATATCAAATAATCTACAACACACTGGAAACCAACCCTCTGTTTCTCCCTTGTCTCCCCGCTCTAAACTGCTGTGGGGGACGTCCAAACACTCGAAGCAAAGACCAGAGCCCAATGGCTTGACCTTCCAGATGCCCTCTCCAATGGCTTTGCCTTCCAGCTGCCTTCTCCAATGGCTTTGCCTTCTCCACCCCTGCCCCAGGGCTTCCGCCCCGTCCCATCCATGCAAATCTACGCTGCAGTAATGGCATTTCAATCAACCTAAGGAGAGATCTTCACAGTAAGAAGAAGTTTTTGGGTTTGTCAGTGCCTAGCACAAGCTCTCCTACAGCTAAACCTGTACCTGATCCCACCAAGAGCAGAAACCAGGGTCAATACAGTCAATGCTGCTGTTAGTTATCATCCCGAGTCTCGCGTCGGGTTTCTTCACACCTCAGAACACTTAGTAGATTGCTTGTTAAAAGGGTAGAAATAATTTGTATAAGGAACAATAGTTAAATATGGACTTTAGAGTTACTAATTACAGTAGTTTCTCTTTTACAGATGCAAGGAACGCCGCTGCGCTGGAGAGCACAGGGACACGACGGCGAGGAAAGCAGAGATTTGGCTTTTATGACACTATTTACAGGTTTTCCACTTTAAAAAAACCGGCGGGTTTGATTAAATATAAGTATAGAACATTTCTTCTTCCATATACAAACTCATGTTAGCTGATTAATTACTAAGGTGCTCAGAAGTGTGGCTGAAAACAGAAGTTACAGTAGATCAGTTGTGTTTGTCTCTATTTACACCGGCATCTTCCAAAGAAGCTGGAAGCAAAGAGGTGGCCAGTTATGAATCTAATGTTGTTTTTCTTCACAGCATCTTTGTCAGAAGAAGGTAAAATAGTAGTATTTTCACTCTTTTTTTTTATTCACAAAGGTGGGTGCCCTCGCTGGGTCTGTGTTACCGGTGGTGCCAGGCACCATCACACCCCGAGACACCCTGTTTCTACCTCTCGACTCCTGTCCAGCCCTTACCACCAGAACTTGCTGGTCTGCTGGGCAGCTGCCCGAGACAGGACTTGCAGCACCAGGTTTTTGTGTTGAAAATGCGTCGTACGGGGCCTCCTACGGAACTCGGAGATCTCCTCCGTGCAACAGAAGGGAGAACTTATGTGTGAGGAACCAAACAAAGAGAATGCACTCAGCAAAAATTTTGCCTTCCAATCAGAAAAAATAAAATCCCAAGTGGCCCATGTTTTTTTTTTGAGGTCAAATTCCTTCCCCATTAACACTCTCCAAGGGTTCTGTCTGATGGCCAAACTCTACCTCTAGTTCTGTTCTCCGCTGACTGACGGTTGACCACGGACGCCACCTCCATCGCTTCTCTCCGAACCACCTGTACTCAGAGGAGCTCAAAGTTTGGTGTTTTTGGGGAACCCGTCAAACCAGGAGAGGTTATCTGACCGTAATGAAACTGCTGATTTTTGTCCTTGTCATTTTAAGACGCTATAGAAAAAGAAAGGAAAAGAAGTTGATTTGACTTCTGTTTGCAAACTTACCACGTACCGTCACCTTTCCCTCGGACATTTAAGTTTCAAACAGGTCCCAGAGATTGCAAGGCAAGAGTGTTAAGGCAGTATAAGAAACTCAGTATTTCGTTCACACCTCTTGATTCCCTTAAAGGTTATTTCTAAGGCATCAAAAGGGGCATGTGGTTTGTGCTCGCCTTTTCAGAAAAAGGCATTCGGTAGAGCGTAAAAAAATGGATGCTCAATGACAGACGGAAGCCACCTTGGCCCCGGGCAACGGCCACACCATCAGAGAGGAACAGGGAGATACAGCAGGGGGTTTCCCAGGTGTGGGTTCCTCACCATCTTTCTTTCTGGTACACCTCTGTTTGTACAATCTCACCGGGGTGCTCGGATATGCAGGCCCCGTTGATGTCATTGAGCTTGTTGTCTGGAAGATCCTCGGGTTTTGTGCAAAGTTTCAACGCCCTGGAGATGAAGACGTCCAAGTCAAACTCGGGGTCTGTCTCATTGTTCACCTCCGTGGGTTCTTTGTGGAGATGGTGAGGAGAAGACGGCAGGCTCCGTTCCTGAATCTCTGGAAGAGGACTAGGACACTCCAGACCCACCTGGGTGCTCTTCACCCACTGAGCAATCTCCAGAAAGAGGTTGGATGGTTCTTCTTCCAGCGATAGCTCAGCTGCGGGTGCTATGGTTGCTCTTTTCCAGTGGGATAAATCTAAAATCAGCTTGGGCTCCGAGTAATGATGGGGCTTATTGTCTCTCCACAGCAATTTGTCCAAGTAGGAAGGTGACCCCACTTTGTAATCACACGATTTCCCGCAATCGGCATCAAAAACTCGGTCCATGGATGAGTGGGATAATTCCAAAAACCTCTCTGAGCTGCTCTGGGAGTATTTCCGCGGATCAACTTGTGCTTCTTCCGCGATGGATTCCGACCCCGCCCGGGGGTCCCGCTGAACCTCATCCATATCGTGGTATTTATCGTGTCTCCATTCCAAATCGGAGGAGAGGCTGACGTGGTACCTGCAGAAGACACGTTGCCATTAGACATTTTTACTCTGAGGGTGGTGAGACACTGGAACAGGTTGCCCAGGGAAGTTGTGGATGCCCCATCCCTGGAAGTGTTCAAGGCCAGGCTGGATGTGGCCTTGAGCAACCTGCTCTAGTGGGAGGTGTCCCTGCCCATGGCAGGGGGTTGGAACTAGATGATCCTTGAGGTCCCTTCCAACCCAAACCATTCTATGATTCTATGATTCTATGTGGATGGCTTCGTTAGAAGCAGCAGTGCTCAAACAGATATTTTTTCTTGCTAATATACCACTTACCTAAAGATCTTTACGTTGTTATTAATATTAGAGACCTTTTTCTTTGGTGTTAAAAAAAAAAAGGCAGTAATTTATCAGGGGGATGAGTAATTTATCAAGAGTCTGGAATGGGACCAGCAATGGGAATAGAACCCAAACAACCCAACCAGCTGGCCCCTTCATCGAGCCCTTCATCACCTTCCCTCCACTTGGGATTGAAACTTGATTAACAATATTAATAATCAAACTGTCCCTCAGCCCACAGAGAAGTACCCTGCAGTGTGAGTGCTCTTTGTTTGTTGTAAAGCAAAAAAGATGAGCTTAATTCCCCCCCTGAGACTTGGGCATCACCCGCGAGCGCTCTTTGTTTGTTGTAAAGTAAAAAAAGATGAGTTTAATTCCCCCCCTGAGACTTGGGCATCACCAGTTTATTCTGACCTCGTGGACCAAAAGCATCCCCGAAGGATGCTTAGTGATAACTTCTCCACCAAGTCCAACTCCCTGGATTGCAATTACCTGACAACAGTCATTCTTTTCAAAGTGACATCTAATTTACTGGCTCCTAACTGAGCTGCCTTTTAAAGAGGTCTTCTCCCAGGTATTTGGGCAACGAAACGCTCTTCGGGTGTCCCACAACAAACAGGCAAAATCATTTCCCAGTTCTAAAACACTCGTCCCGCCTCCTCCAGTACTGGGACTGGTCTGGTAACTGGGATAATCATGTAGGACATGCGAGACCTCAGCTCAAGGCTTTGATCTGCTCTAAACTTCCTGGGCAACTTTCAGCAAACCATTTAAAACTCAAAACAATTAAGGATTTTTAAATTGTTTTTAAAGACCCCAGGTCTGCAGCCTCTGGGGCTTACGTGCCTTGAAAAGTGAGAAAAATAGTGCTCCAAATCAGGCCTGGTGCCCAAAAGGTGCAAGAATTACATTCTTTTATAACTGGTATTAAGGGACAGAAGAGAGAGGGAAGAACAGCAGCATCATCTAAAGGGACATAACTCAAATGAAGAGGATTTGGGCTGTTAATAAAACCAAGAAGGGAAAGATACTCAGCAACTGGAAGGTGCAGACTCAACATCTGCTCCCCGTGGAAATCTGTGATGAACCTCTTGTTGGCTTCAACAAGGTGCCAGCTTGGACTAGAATTACAATGTGGCATAAAAGAAGGAAAAAGAAGGTGGTTTTGGTGGGCCTGGAGCACGTGTGACTGAACCCAACCAAAAGCATGTCAGAGACTCATCAGCCTGAAGAATTTAGGCCAAGATCTGGTCTCCAGCCCAGCCCCACGTACCGTACCTGTCCCAGTTAGACATCTGGCTCTGGTTGGCTTCCATGAGTAAGATGTCATCGATCTCATCCTCAATCCGGAAGGGATGCTGAGACACCGGTTCATCCTCGGGGCAGGAATAGGGACTCATGTAAGGATGCTGCAGACCCATCTCGGCCGTCAATCGATCCATAGGGTTAAAAGTCAATATTTTCTCCAGGAAATCAATAGCTGCGGAGCAAGAGAGAAACAAACTCACTAATTCCTCAAAAGCAAAACCAGTCTCCTCCCCGGGACGAGCCGCACCAATCCCCCCGTAACGAATCCCCTCGGAATAAGGAAGGAATCAAAGGTCACATCCCCATCCCAGGGGAGCAATCCTGCAGGTGGCACTTCATCTGGCCAGGCAGGAGAAAGGACATCCTGAACGTCACACCTCCATGCGACATCGAGCCCGGGCCAGAATGCTACACCCCTAACCCCAAAAACCACAGAATCACAGAATCTTCTAGGTTGGAAGGGACCTTAAAGATCATCTTGTCCAACCGTCAACCAGATTCTCAGATCCATTTGATGAGCATGGTCCATTTCAGACAAGTATTTCACATCCTCACGCACAGCCGAAGAGGGATTAGATTTAAAATGTGATTTTTAGAAGTCCTCAGCACGACCAAGACTACGAAATTATTTTGCCCATTAATATTTAAAGAATTCCGAGCGCCTACAATCATTTTAGAAAGACTACAGAGAGTGAGCTCCTCCTGCGATGACGAAGGAAGAAATTAAGTGCAATTAAAGCGAGGAGAATTAAATCCAAACGGGGAGGGTTTGTTGTGATTCCTTCGACGGTTCCTTTCACTGAGCTTATGTGACAAAATCAAATCCTGCCCTTAAAGATGTTGTTTATTCAGTTGATTCTTGGTGCATCGAAGACTCTCTTGGAGTTCAGATAATACAAATTGTATGGAATAGGCTGCCCAGGGAGGTGGTGGAGTCACCATCCCTGGGTTTAGGGACGTTTAAATGGGGTACTGAGGGATATGGTGTAGGGGAGGACTTTGTAGAGTAGGGGAGATGGTTGGACTCCATGATCCCAAGGGTCTCTTCCAACCTGAATGATTCTATGATTCTAAATAGGAATATGTTTTTCTTAATTTACAACTTTTCCACTCTCCCTCCAGAAATATCCTCATTAAAGATGTAATTGTGTGAACGAGACCCGTTTCTTCAGGGGCAAAATCACCCAGCAGAAAGGAAGGGCCGCACCTACGGCCTCAGTGCTTAAACATTAACCGATCTCCGATTGTCTCCCACGGGATTATTTCATTGCTGGGACTAATTAAGGAGGAAGGAATCAATAGCTTCATAAGGTCACCGACTGCGGGCGAGAAGCGTGGCGGAACGATATATTAGGAGTTACAGATTACGATATATTACGTTGGGTCAGAGAGGCAGGAAAACGTCGATGAATTATGCAAGGGCCACAGGTGACCTTTCTTCCCTCAGTGACGATGGGGAATAAATCCCTTCCTGCTCACCGGAGGCTGACGCGGTCCCCGGATAACCCAGGCATGGCCAAGCCCAATTAGAAGACACCTCATACCCAAGAGTTACGCCAGCCAACATGGCCTTGACGTCCTCCCAGAAGGAGGTGGCCAGGTCAACCAACCCGGTTGAAACCTTGGAAGGAGTTGAGAAGAGCTGACGTGCCCTGGTCCACGCCACTCAGCTCCGGCTGAGAAAGATCTCGTTGCCTACAAAGCTGCTGCAGGCAGAAGGTCAGCTCCAAAAGGTTCCAAACACAAAAAACTGCTGATTTTTAGCCAAAGGAAGGAAGGGAGTGAAGTGGTATTTGAGCACTGCAGGTGGCGACAGCCCAACAACACAAAAAAATGCTGATTTTTAGCCAAAGGAAGGGAGTGAAATAGTATTTGAGCACTGCAGGTGGCGACAGCCCAACGCAAGCGTTGTCCAAGCCTCGGGGCGCTTGGACAACAACAAGATCTCATGGAGTTTGGATATTTGTGGAGTAAAAGCATTTATTTTCTTGTACTGCATAATTGTGTTCATGCAAAAAGCGGAGGAAGAACGTGAACAGGGCTTGAAAATAAACCCTGGGCTGAACCCTCACTTTGCAGCTCCAAAAAAGGAGCTTCAAACCCCCAGATATCTGAATCCCGTTCACCAACGTTCACGAGCTTGGCCTTAGAGGACAATTCCTGTGACTCCCTGGGGAAAAGGGTCTGAAGACACGGCAGCCAGAGGGACATTCCCAAAGCCAGTGGACGCTACGGTACCTTCACTGTCCACTTCAGGGAGCAGCTTGCGCAGCGGCTTCCTCACTTCCCAGGTGCTGTTGATGAACGTGGGCATGACTTTGAGCAGCTCCTCCTTGTCCTCCTCGTGGATCACGGGGATCGTCTCCAGAATAAGCTGCATCTGTTCCAGCTCGTGACCCCCTAAACGGGCAGAAAGCAGACAGTGAGATGAGACCCAGAAGTTAAATTGGGGGAGGAGGGGGTGGTATTATTGGATTATTGGTCACCCTCCTGCATGGCCACCCCTCGGAAATCCACGATGACACATCCCTGAATGAGCCACCTCTCTTTGCTCCAAGGAAAATGTGGTGGGACCCCCAGCCAGGTCACCTCTTTTTCAGGGTGAAAGAGTTAACGTAGACAATTTTCCCTCCTGGTGTTATCACCCCCAGGTTGTCTGTGCAGCTTTTCGACTAACCTGGACATCTATTTAAAATGGCCATGAAGGAGAAGCCATCATCAACTGAAATGGTTGGCCATGGGAGCCCCATTGGTGGGGTCCATCCCATTGTCCAGATGGGAAAGGGGTTTTTCTGACCTGGTCCCACCTGGTTGCTGGGTACCAAGTCAAGGTTCTGATGGTGATGGTCCCCACAACTTCTAGGAGCAATGGTAGCTTTTTAAACCCTTTTCATAGAATCATAGAATCATTGAGGTTGGAAGAGACCCTTGGGATCATCGAGTCCAACCATCTACCCTACTCTACAAAGTCCTCCCCTACACCATATCCCTCAGTACCCCATCTAAACATCCCTTAAACACATCCAGGGACGGTGACTGGAGATATTTCTTTATTTCCTTCAGGAGATATTTATCCACCCATCCCTAAGCCTTCTTTCAGGACTGGCTACCAGTCAGTGAGAGGAGAGAAGCTGCAGAGCGAAGCCGACTGCCTCGTTAATGAACGTTAATCCCATTCTTTAGCTCGCTATCGGAGACGTGCCCAAGAGCTCTGCGGCTCATTTCCAGCTCCCTACGTGCAGGGAGAATCAGCCTGGCAGAAGAACCGAGTCGTGCTATTGATTTTCTGTCTGCTGGAAATGCCAGTTATAAATACCCTCTCATTAGAGGCAGGACTAGCCATTAAGACAGCGAACTGCTCGGGGTGAACTTGGGCAACCAAGGCCCTTGCTGTCCCACTGGAACCAAGGGGGATTTTTGGGCAACCAAGGCCCTTGCTGTCCCACTGATGGATTTCAGGCCGCTTCACCGGCAACCAGAGCCCTGCTGATCTGCAGAAAGTGGGGTGAACCTCATTTATGGCACAGCACTTGGAATCAGTCTGGAGGGAGGGTGGAGACCTCCATCCAACTTGTAGGAGATGCTGGAGAGCATTGCTGGTGTCAAGCCCTCAAGCAACCCCATCCCTTTGGAGGTCCCCGGCACCTCACAGGGGCTGCCCTTCCCAGCCGAGGGCTCCCCATGGAGCAGGGAGAGGTTTCCAGACTCAAATCCATGGAGCCAATCTCAAACACACACCCCCTGGGCAAGGGAAGGTCCAAACATTGAGGTTGGGAAAGGGTCTCCATGGCCTCCATCACTCAATGGAGGTCTACAAGCCAGGACATGGCAATGAACTCAGAGAACCTCAAAGCAACACTGACATTAGCACAGCTGGTCACCATCACACCACACATCTGCTCAGAACAAAGCCTCAGAAGAAGAAAGAGCAAGAGAAAAAGAAACAAAGACCGAGGGACATCCTCTTAATATCAATCCTGGGCAAACGAAATGACTTTCCAATAAAAACCCTAATTTTAGGTCATCTAGAGGTCGGCAGCACGGCTCCAGGAGAAACTAAAGATGACCACCAAGAAACAAACACCTCGTTAGTCAGGCTAATTCCCAAATTGCCATCAAAATGACAAGGTATTAGAAGTCACAGAGGCTTCGTGGCTGTTCTCCTCTCAGTGCAGCTCCAGCCGTTGCTCACCGAAGGCACCACGTTTAGTCACACAAAGAAGCTGCTAATGCGAGACGAAGAAACTTTAAATTATAGCTCTCAAGAAGCCAATTCCCCGCCATTATCCTCTATTGATGTAATTCCTGGGGACCTTCTGGAGGCATTAAGCCCTGAAAAGAAAAACACCAACTACAGATGGAACAAAGGCAAGGTGCTGTCGTTACCGAGGAGAGAAGGAGGAGCTGGTGAACCCCACGGGGATCTACCAGGACTGATGGCTTTTCTTTATCTCCTATTTTTTCTGGTGATGCTTTGGGACACGCTTCGGTGGAGAAGGCACTGGAGGGAGCTGTAGCTGCTCAGTTATGGATGCTTGTCCCCATTTTCCACCCTCTCTAAAGGTCTGCAGACCAGGTTTTAGCTGTTGGGAGACATTCTACGCTCCCACGAGCTTTGGGTTACTCATCACTCTCTACAACTTCGTGAAAGGACACTGTAGAGAGGTTGGTGCTGGTCTCTTCTCACAGGTAATTAGTGACAGAACGAGAGGGAATGGCTTCAAGCTCCAACAGGGGAGGTTTAGATTGAACATTAGGAAAGAATTTTTCACCAAAAGAGTGATAGGGCATTGGAACAGGCTGCCCAGGGAGGGGGTGGAGTCACCATCCCTGGATGTGTTTAAGGGACGTTTAGATGTGGTACTGAGGGACATGGTGTAGGGGAGGACTTTGTAGAGTAGGGTGGATGGTTGGACTCGATGATCCCAAGGGTCTCTTCCACCCTAGACGATTCTATGATTCTATGATTCTATGAGTTCTTGTGCCCTCCTGGAGGGCTGCCAAATCTAAAGCTTCTCCCACCACGGCATGGCCCAGAGAAGGGGCTGTGGAAAGAGCAACAGGGGTGGAGGGTCCCGCTCCGCCGGGCGCTCATTAATTTGAGCAGCAGACTGAAAGCAGGGAGTGACATCTACTCCTAATAACCCATCGCCTTAATTGAACGGCGTGGCTTAAGCACCCCAGACAGACTCCTGAGTTAATTATATTGACTTATGCTAAGCAGCTGATTTAAATGGCGCTGCTGACGCATACTCAAAAAACCAATTTATCCAGCGTTGAGGCAATTACTGGAGGTTTGCAACTTGCTGGGAACTACGTCGCTGTTATTTCTTACGGGGTGTTTGTTGGTGACCCAGGACTCTCCAAAAGCCTTGTTCTACAGCCAGAGCGTGGCTGCACCCAGCCAGGGACAAAGTCCTTCTCCCAAGGAAAGAGGAGAAGAACGAAGCCAGTTTTGGCTGTTCAAGAGAGAGGAGAGGAAAAACTGAGTGAGCAGAATCACAGAATCTTCTAGGTTGGAAGGCACCTTAAAGATCATCTTGTCCAACCGTCAACCTAACTGACAAAAATAGACACCCACACAACAAAGGCCTCACCAGTGCCCAGTACAGGGGGACCATCACCTCCTAAGTCCTACTCCCCACGCTGTTCCTGATACAGGCCAGGATGCTGGTGGCCTTCTTGGCCACCTGGGCACGCTGCTGGCTCATGTTGAGCCAACAGTTGACCAACACCCCCAGGTCCTCTGTCAGGCAGCTCCAGCCACTCTGCCCCCAGCCTGTTCGGTCTGGGGTTGTTGTGACCGAAGTGCAGGACTTGGCACTTGGCCTTGTTGAACCTCATCCCGTTGGTCTCGGCCCATCGATCCAGCCTGTTGAGATCTCTCTGCAGACCCTCTCTACCCTCCAGCAGATCAACACTGATCTCACTGTTCTGAGGTTTGAGATTTTATTCTTCTCCTCTTTGGACACCAGCAGATGAAAGAGGGTAGGTGACATGGGACATCATGGACACTCTGGCCCACTGCTGGGCTCCCACCCCAGCTCTTCTTTACTTACTGGTATAGGAGGAGGCCAGGACAATGGGACACAGGGCCAGGACCTTCCTGTAACAGCTCTACAGCCTATTTTGAAAGCAACCCACAAGGAATATGTATTTTGAGCTTCGGTTTTGATCCCCACCCATTCTCTCAGTATCCTGCCATCATGTGGGGGCTCATTAAGCGATCGCAGAGAAGCAGGGACGCTCGCAGCACTTGTCTGGCAACACCAGCACGGGCCCTTCGGCTTGTTCTCCAGCTGCTCTTTATGAGCAGTGGTGGAAAAATAAATATTTCTAAGACACAATCTCAGCTGAAGGCAGAGAGGTAACAGAAACCAGAGCAATCACACCCTGGAGCTGCCTTTTCCTCTGTCTTTGCCCATGACCAGGAGCTTTAAGGACCAGCTTGGACACCTAGATGGTAGACAACTGGTGTCAGCCAACGCAGCTTCTAACCTTGGGGTCCTCAAACAGCACGAAAATGTTCCTTCCCTCTGGCCTGGGAAGACATCTCCAGTTTGCTTCCACCCAAAAAGATCAGAGACCTTTCCATGGTGCAAACCAGAGCTCAGCAAGGGCTGGCAGAGCCCTCTCGGGAGCTCAGTCCCACGTAGTGAGACCAAAAAATGAGGGACATGGAGATGTCCTCGCTCCTGGAATATATCCCAAGGAGGCAGCAGGAGCAGCTACGTCCCTGGACTCACAAATTTTTGAGGAAGACCAAGGACAAGAGGGAGGAAGGAGAGGGAGGGGATTTTACTGTTCTGCTTCCTTTTCAGCTTTCAGAGCAGCTGCAATCAAACACCGGCACTGAAATATTTGCAAAGAAAGTGTCCTTCTCCATTATTAATGAGCCTAATTATTTATTTACGCCACTCTGCAAACAGCTGCTCACGAAATGTGTTAAACCCTGTCACTCAGAACACCAAGGGGCGACGGCGGAGACGACGGAGGAGGAGCATCCCACAAATCTCTTAGGACAGGGCTACGTTATCTCACGTCCTTATACTCCACCCTATGAGATTTTTTTAGCGTCCTCCCTCCCAACAAAAAGCTCTTATTTTCTGTTGGAAACTCAGAAACAGAAGGAGGTTTTGTTGTTTCATCAGAATTGTTCTTTGTTTGGGGTTTTGCTTTTGGCAGGAGATGGTTCCTGCCCAACAAAGCTCAGCACGGAGACAACGATGACCCCGGCCAGCCTCGGGAAAGCCACCAGTTGGTGGCTTCCTGCTGGGTGCCATCACACCATGTGTCCATCCCATGACAAGAGCAATAGGGCAGAGGGAAGATCAAGATGGGAACTCTCCTCCAGCCCCAAGGGCCTGCCTGCACCAAGGAAGTTTGCACCAAACAAGGGAGACCCTCTAATAGAAGACAGGGGTTGGGCAAGTGGAGTTTGGGGACTGCTCTCATGTCTAATAACCAACCGTGGCATCCTTGTAGTGCTGATGGCTACAAAGAGAGGGGAATCAGAGAATCACAGAACGGTTTGGGTTGGAAAGGAGGGGAATCAGAGAATCACAGAAGGGTTTGGGTTGGAAAGGACCTTAAAGATCATTCCTCAAAGCCCCATCCAACCTGGTCTTGAACCCCTCCAGGGATGGGGCAGCCACAGCTTCTCGGGGCAACCTGGGCCAGGCTCTCACCACCCTCACACCAAACAAGTTCTTCCCCACATCTCATCTCCATCTCCCCTCTTTTGGTGTCAAACCCTTCCCCCTCATCCTATGGCTCCCTTCCCTGATCCAGAGTCCCTCCCCAGCTTTCCTGGAGCCCCTTGAGGGACTGGAAGAGGCTCTAAGGTCTCCCTGGAGCCTTCTCTTCTCCAGGCTGAACCCCCCCAACTCCCTCAGCCTGTCCTCCCAGCAGAGGGGCTCCATCCATAGATCATCTCTGTGGTCTCCTCTGGACTCGCTCCACCAGGTCCACGTCCTTCCTGTGGTGAGGACTCCAAAGCTGGACACAGCCTTTTTTTTTTCTGCATTCCCTCTGCCATGCTAAAAGGCCTTTGAGTTGGGTAGCAAGGAATGAGGAAAAATATTAATTAACAGGAGCCAGAAACCTACCAGCAAAGAGCATCCTTCCTGTCAGCATCTCGGCCAGGATGCAGCCGGCCGCCCACATGTCGATGGCTTTGGTGTAGTTGTTGGGCGAGAGGAGGAGGCGAGGGGAGCGATACCATTTTGTCACCAAGCCTTCTGAGAGGTAACCCTGAAAAAAGGAGAGACAGAGACATCAGCATCTTGACAAGAGAGCTCCTCAGCTTCCTCCCAGTCAGCCCTCGCTGTGGTCCCACCGTCAGATCCATCAGGAAGCAAAGAGGTGAGACACAGACCACTGGAAAAGAGAGATTTTTTGGTATTCCAGGAGGCAAAGCGCTTGCTGCTCCCCAAAAACCTTATTTGCTGTTTGTCACCCTGCTGTTGAAGCACTTTCTGCAAAGGACAGATGGTTTGGAAAGCACAGATTTGCAGATAGTACCTGCAAAAAAAAGTTATTTCAGGTCACTGCTAGAGGACTTCGATGTATTATATAAATCCCAGTGCCACCATCTGAGACGTTCTGGATGGTGTTCAGCTGTGCTGGGTCCCAGCTCTAACCCAGCAGTGCGTGAAGGAAGCCTTTCCCAGCTCAGTACCCCAAGGGCAATGCTTAGATGTCCAAACTGGTTACCAGTTTGCACCATCTCTAGTTAATCCTGTATCTACAGTCCCTCCTGAGCCACCTCAAGCTACGTCCCGCTGAAATCCCACAGAGCCAACCCCCTACTGAATTCCAATGGATCTGACTCCAAGCACTTAGAGGGCACAAGGGGACACCAGACCGGAGCAGAGGTGGCACTGGGAGCACAAAGGGATCCCAGAAGATGCTCTCAGCAAGATCTGCCCTCTGCAGAAGCTGGGTGAGTTGACCCTGCCTCCACCATCAGGATGCTGTTGCAGTGAACCCCGCTTTGGTGTGGGGCATGTGCTGGGAACTGTGGGTGAACTCACGCAACATCTCACAGGGGTGAGATGTAGGATCTCATAATGGGCAGAAGAAACAGATTTGGGGAGAAACATCACTACAGCGTGGAAGGAAAGCCTCCTGGACCAGCAGATGTCTTAAAGCATGGCCGAGTGGCCAACAAAGCCCTGCAAGGGCTTCTAGCCAAGACTCTTGGGTGGGTGACTCCTCCGTCCTACTTTGCTTACGGTGAGGACAGAATCACAGAATCACAGAATCTTAGTGGTTGGAAGGGACCTCTGAGATCATCGAGTCCAACCACAAAAAAAACCCCAAAAAAAACCAAACAAAAAAACAAAACAACAAAAACCAAACACCAAACAAATACAAAACACCCCACCCCAAACGCCCACCAAAACCACCGCACCCACCAACTAAACCCCACACTCAACACCTCACCATAAACCAATAACCTTGGGCACTAGAGCGTGCCCTGAAGAGCCATGTCTATACGTTTCTTAAATACCTCCAGGGATGGTGCCTCCACCACCTCCCTGGGCAGGCTGTTCCAGGGCCTGACCCCCCTCTCAGTAAAGTAATTCTTTCTTATATCTAATCTAAATCTCCCTTGGTGCAACTTCAGACCATTTCCTCTGGTCTTGTTTTTTGTCCTTTGGGAGAAGAGGCCAACACCTGCCTCTCTACACCCTCCTTTCAGGGAGTTGTAGAGGGCAATGAGGTCTCCCCTCAGCCTCCTCTTCTCCAGTTCCCTCAGCCTCTCCTCATAGGACTTGTTCTCCAGGCCCCTCACCAGCTTGGTCGGTTGGAACGCTTGACCTGGTTTTAAAGGAGATCCCCCCCGAGCAGCACCCCACGGGACAAAGACCGAGCCGTCATCTCCTTGGAGGCCATTGTCTCCTTGGACCACAGCCCTCCTGCTCCTGGACTCACCCGGGAGATTCCACCCAAGTGCCAAGCACTCAGCAGCTCCCGTGGAAATCAAGGGGACGCCTTTTCAAGCCCGTCAATGAGGTTGGCATCGGAAGGGATGTCCCAGTGCCACCGGCTGCGCTCGCCGGCCAAGCTCCGGATGCGCGGGCACCACGCCGGGGTGGGACGTGAATGGGCATTTCATCAGGATAATGTTGGAATATTCATAAATGGCATTTTCTATATTAAATACAACTCATCGACAGGACGAGGTGGATCGAAACGCAATGGAAAAGAAAATAAAATTAAATGATAAAGTCGAATTGCATTTAAATGCCATGAAGCATTTGGAGAGCATCAAAATGCAACGATGTGAATATGGTCCATGTAAAAACTCTGTTAAAAAAACCCACCCTAAGCAATATAAGTTTCATAAACTCAAAAGACCCAAGTCCCTCAGCCTTTCTTCATCAGAGAGATGCTCCAGGCCCCTCCTCATCTTTGTAGCCCTCTGCTGTCCCCTCTCCAGCAGTTCCCTGTCCTTCTGGAACTGGGGAGCCCAAAACTGGACCCACTGCTCCAGCTGGGGCCTTCCCAGGGCAGAGCAGAGGGGCAGGATGACCTCCCTCCACCTGCTGGTCCCACTCTTCTTGATGCCCCCCAGGATGCCATTGGCCTTCTTGGCCACCAGGGCCCATTGCTGGCTCATGGGCATCCTGTTGTCCACCAGGACTCCCAGGTCTTTCTCCTCAGAGCTGCTCTCCAGCAGGTCACCCCCAACCTGTCCTGGTGCAGGGGGTTCTTCCTCCCCAGGTGCAGCACCCAACGCTTGCCCTGGTTGAAGTTCATCAGGTTCCTCTCTGCCCGACTCTCCAACATGTCCAGGTCTCGTTATATGGCGGCACGTTTTGGAATTCCCAAATGGGCAAGTCATCAAGCTTTTAATTATAAAGGCCTCGCTTTTAAAAGCACGTTTTAATTACGGGCTTCTTAAGCTAAGTTGTAATGGAGGCTGATTAGCTGAGAAGTTTCATTTAATGCCGTTATATTTTTGGCTAACGCTGCTGAATCAGAACGGGCACAAAACCCCCCAGGCGTCACCCAGTTTCAGCTGCTGGAATTATTCCCAATGTTGGTGTTTACTGGAAAAATCCCAAGAAAATAAAATTGGGGGATAGCAATATATGGCAAATAATCTATATGTTGCAACAAGAAAAACATTTTCTTCCCCAGGTATCTCTCCCGGATCGGAGAAAATTCCCTCATTGAGCAACCTACAGCTTCTCTTCATCCCACCAACTCGTGGACCTTACAGTTGGACCTCCTCTTGCTTCCTGTGGCATTCCGGGTTATCCCTCCTCTTCCTCAGCAGGAAAATACCAGGAAGGGAGGTTTGAAAATCAAGACTTTTCCAACCCAGCTCCCGGTGGGAGTGGTTGGGGGTGGTCCCCAGCTGGGCAGCACAGCACCCCAGTCCTGAGGGACTTATCCAGCCCCAACATCTACATCTGCTCTGCCTCCACAGTGAATAAAAACATAGTCTAGGTTACTATTTTTATAAAATATGTAAGAGAAGTTCCTGTCCTACCACCTGGAGGAAGCAACTACAGCCCTGTGGACTATCAAAACCTACGGAGAAATATCACCATGGCTTTGGGGATGGCACAGCTGCAGGATGCTTGGGTAAGAACCCACCTAAACCTGGGTAAGGATCCACCTAAACCTGGGTAAGGACCCACCTAAACCTGGGTAAGGACCCACCTAAACCTGGGTTAGATACAGGCTCAGCTCTTTCCAAGAGGGCAGTACCCAGGCCAGGATGGAGAACCCGAGCACCTCCAACCATCGCCTGGTCTTCAGCACGAGAATTTCACCACTTATATAGATTCAACCAGACAGAAAGACCGAGAGCAGCAGCGTATTAATTAGTTCTAATTAAGATGGAGCGTACATCTTCACGGCAATATTCTGCGCATTCAGCACAGCCCTTCCTGAAGAACCACTGGAATCTCTTTTAAAACCAATATAATGGGGATAATTTAAAACCAGAAATAGTTTCAAGGCCAGACCTTGCTCTCAAAGCCCTCCCACGCTATTTTTTTTTTGCAGTTTGCAAAAAAAAAAGGATTTTTTTTTCTAATCTTTACACAACATGGATTTTTTGTGTCTTTTTTAATGCCAGAAGAGAAATTCCAGGTGGGTGCAGGTGCTGCTGCATCTCAGTGTCACCTGCATCCTGAGGGCACCGAGGCAGCATGTGGGGAGCGCAGCGAGACCCACCGATGCTCCAGTACAACCTGTGCCCAAACTGGGAGCTCCACCTTGGAGCTGGAGGGACTGAGGGCACATCTCCTTGGAGGCAGATGCTGAAATTCAGGATCCCACCTACTGCAAACCTAATGCTGCAGCCCAAAGCCTCTCCTGACTGTTATTTCACACCAAAATCCATCTTTCTGTGCTCAAAAAGCCACAAGAGGTGCCCGCAAACTGGAAATCCAGCAGGATCCAGCCTCTAAATCCACAGCCAGTTTGGGATGACAGAGAGCACTTATTTCAGGCTCCATCAGAGGAGAGGGAAGGAGGAGCTGCCCCGGGGTTGAACGTGGAGGGTGGTCACCTCCAGGATGAGCAACGTCCCACATCCTCATCCCCTCTGAAGAGCTCCTCATCTCCTTTGAAGACCTCCTCATGATGACCCACCTGGGAATCGTGTTGTTCCACTGGACGAGCTGGAAGCTATTAAGTGTGCACTGATCAGCGAGCACAAAAACGAAAGGAAGGACTTCAAAGGTTTGAAGATGTTCTGGAAACTATTTAGCATGAGCTCTGCCCCTAAAAGGGCTGTCACACCCTCCTTAGCGTGGAATTTCTGCCAATTAATGCTGTAATTAATGTTGCCAAGAGGCAAAAGGGAGAGAAGGTCCCCTGGCAGCCCCATGCTGATGCCTCCAAGAGCTTTGGGCCACCAGACAGAACCCAGAAGAAGTAATCTGACTATCATCTCGTACAACATGGGCAGGCTAAAGAGCTTCCCACTTTTCTGCCCCATCACCCCAGTAAAGAGATTCAGCCAGTCTCCATATCCCCATACAGCAGGTATTTCTGTTGTCTTCTCCAGGTGGGACCACCCAACCCCGCGGCTCCTCTCTGACCACACATGGGATGCACGGCCACGAGACTGTCCTCGAAAGTATTTATTATTTTTAAGTCTAGACATTCCTTGGTATTTATCCCCATTTTTAACGCTTGAATTTGCCGTCTCCCTGCTCTCCCATCCCTCCTGCCCACCATGAGCTGAGGGTTCTCAAGAGAGGACACCATCTCATTTTTCCACCCCTTGAGCCCTCCAAACTTGGGGCACATCACACCTGGGCTCTCCTTTGGAGCCAAAACTATTTATTAGGAGTAAATACACACCCGGGCAGCCTCTGAAGAAATGAAGGCAGGGGCTGGACCATGGGGAGAAGAAGACAGCGAGGTGTGGGGCAAGCAGGACCACGAGGCTGGAGATGAAGGGGACATTGCAGAGCGCTCTGAGGGTGAAGGTGAGACTCGTGCTCAATAAGGATGTGGTTTATGGAAAGGGAAATGCTCAGCTTTGACTGTTTTGGCATAAGGACCTCATGGAGGCTGGAGCTGGCCCTTATCTCCATCTCCACCCCTCCTCTGGTCACCGTTTGGGCCCCAAGTCCCAAGGTTCAGATCACAAATAGCAGCGACTGAGGAAAAAGGGATTAACGTGGAGATGTTCTAGAGGGATAAACAGCGGGATTAGCGACTCCAGGGGATGAAGAGCAGTAAGAAGGGAGAGTAAAGGAGTCTTCATGGCTGGACGGTGAGAACATCGGGGAAGGGACAGGGTATCAGGGAGAGGAGGACCCACAGGATCATCTCCTGAGGGTCCTCTTCTGCAAGACCTGATGTTCTGAGCCCTAAAGAGATGTTTGCAAGCACCCAGAGAGCTTAAAAGTGGGGGTTTATCTGAGATGGGGCTAAAATCTAAGCCGTCAGGTCTGAGCAGCCTTGTGAAGGTTCAGACCCAGATCTGGCCATGACCTTGGCAGCTTGAAATCCATCTCGTTTGCTACTGGGAAGTTTCAAACGAGCAGATGCCCCCGTGCTGCTCTTACCCCACGGAGAGAGGGATTTGAGCAGCAAACACCAGCCAAACAGGGGGGGAAAACACAGGTGAAGCTGCTCTGCTTCAAATCACAGAATCACAGAATCTTCTAGGTTGGAAGGGACCTTAAAGATCATCTTGTCCAACCGTCAACCTCACTGACAAAAATAGACACCCACACAACAAACAAGGAAAAAGCTGAAGGCCAGGACCCTGCTGTGGTCCAGGGCATCTCCCAGAGTAGGGGACCTCTCCCATTCCCACCAAATTATCCGAATGACACGGTTCCTTGCTTCAAAGCCACGTAAAACAAGACCCATCACCAAGGAAGGGCTATTATTAAGGTGCTTTATCCATTTCTAACCTGGGTTTAAAACTCTGCTCACGATCTAACGCAGTTATTATTTGCAGGATGGTCGGGGACTTGAGAAACGTCGGGTCAGGAGAGCTTCAGATGGACGACAACACTCAACCCTTCATGTTAGCAGGCCCCAGCCACCAGATACAAGAGTATTCCAGACACAAAACATCCTGAGGGGAAAGAAGACGTGAAAACTGACAAGAAAACATCACACTAGAGGTATTGGAACAGGCTGCCCAGGGAGGTGGTTGAGTCCCCATCCCTGAAGATGTTTAAGAACCGTTTAGATGTGGTGTTGGGGGATATGGTGTAGGGGAGAACTTTAGAGTAGGGTAGATGGTTGGACTTGATGATCCTGAGGGTCTCTTCCAGCCTAGATGATTCTGTGATGATTCTGTGAGGTGTAGCTCTCCAGAGGTTTGGATCTACTGGGTCTTTAGGGCAATTAATTACACAGGGAAGAGGATTTTAACTTGGTTTTGGGCATCTCCGCGTCAGCACTTGCTGGTCACACCAAAATTTGGGGTGTAAGGATCCCCGTTCTGCTCAACGCTGGTTGGCAGAGGGATAGAGGCTCAGATGTGGTGATGCTCCTGTGTCCTCTCCCCCTTGCTGGTGCCTCTGCAAGAGCCCACACCCAGGAGCTCATAAATCCCTACGAGCCCTTGAGGAATCACAGAATCTCCACAGGAAGGTGGAGGTTGAAAGAGAAATACGGAAAGAAATTGATTTTTCTGAGTCATCTGAGAAATCAAAGGTGGGGACCGACCCAAAGCCCCAGCCAAACCCTCCCATCGTCCCTCTGCCTTTGCCCATCACCTGGACAAACACAATCCTCCCCAGAGGACCAAATTTAGGAAGAACTGAGGTTATTTGTGGTGCTGCAGCGCTGCTATTTTTGGCTCCGGAGTGGTATCCAGGTCTCTGAGCACAGCGGGGCTCCGCCGGTTTCTCACACCGACATCTCCAACCTCCCACCCCCGGGGAGGAATCGGAGGACGCGACGGCATCTCAAATAGTTCCATCCCAGCACGAAGCCACAGCCCTTGACAGCTCCTTCCTTATTAAGGAGATGGAGAATTGCTCAGAAAAACCAATAATTCCGCAGAGGACGCGGAGAGACGACTCCTACCCTGATCCTGCCGTCTCTGAGAAGATGATGCTCTTTAAATCAGTGACTTTCTGCATTTTTTTTTTTTTTTTCATTTTTTTTTTCCCAGGAGTTACCCTCCCTTGGGAAAAGCCTCATGCTTTTGACTTTAAAATGCACCTGACTATTAAAAAAAAACCAACCAAACAACACACTCACTTGAAAATCCAAGAGCTTTTTTCCTGAGCTGGGTAATAAATAATTAGTGAGGAAGGGAACACGGCGGGGTTGGGGGGGGAAGAACAGGGACAAGGACCCCCCTCTCTCTCCCCAGTGTCTCTTACAACCTTCTTCCCTTTCCCCAGGCTCTGTTTCTCCTCGGACTCCAAACCAGAAGGGATCAGGGCTCACCTTCAGAATCAGGAGATCTTCTTTTCACCACCCTTTTCCCTCTCCCCTTCCAAAGCAACGGTGCCCAAATCAGAGCCACGTTGGGCAGGAACTCAATGGCAAATGCAAAAGGTATTTAAAACCTCGTCCCACGCGCAACGGCGGGTCCATGGGGGACACTGAGCTCCTCCACACAAACATTCAGGAAGAAATTTTTTACTCTGAGGGTGGTGAGACACTGGAACATGTTGCCCAGGGAAGTTGTGGATGCCCCATCCCTGGAGGGGTTCAAGGCCAGGCTGGATGTGGCCTTGAGCAACCTGCTCTAGTGGGAGGTGTCCCTACCCAGGGCAGGGGGTTGGAACTGGATGATCTTTAAGGTCCTTTCCAACCCAAACCATTCTATGATTCTATGATCCAACTAGAAAATGGATTTGATCTTATCTTACAATACCAAAGAGCAACTTCCACCAGAAACCCACTGGTGCAGACCAAAAGATACTTTGCTTTCTCCTGGGACACTGTGGACCTGGGAGCTGATGAAGCTTCCACCACGCTCCTCCGTGGTTCCAAACCTCCAGCCTAGATGGCAACCTGCATTAAACATCTGCAACTCCCCTTCAAAATCCATCAACATCAGGGTTGTGCATTTTGGAGACTTCCCACAAATGTTCCTTGCCTCCCTCCCACATCACTTGCCCACTGTTCCCACCTTGCTCCACCAGAGAAGCCACCACGACCTGCTCCCACCTCCAACCTCCCTTTTTTGAGGGTGAATGAAAGCCTGGGGGCAGCTGTGGGATGTCTTCCCTCCATCCCGAGAGAGAGCAACACATCCAGGGCTGTCCCACCAGGAGGCCTTCGCTGCTAGAGACTGCCCTGCTGAATTAAATTCATTAGAGGAAAAAACACAGCTCTTTTAACAGCTGCATTTTTGCCCCAATATAAACTGCTTTCGTACCTTGAATTATTTTGTAGGGTTTGGCAGCTGCCCTGAAGTTCAACCCTTCGTGGAGAAGACCGAGGCACCCAGCTCGCTAATTGCTTGTTAGAAATCACCGCTTTGGGGGAGTTTCAGGCCTCCTTGGGCAGATGGAGAAAAGCTGGTGATGGATTTCCCCTACTCAAGGGCAAGTATCAGTTTTCTTGCATTTTAATTCATTCCTCCTTTCCCTCCTTCTCCATCCTGGCCAGACCACCATGAGAAGGTGTGTGTGGATCGAGATGCAGGAGATGGCCAGGCTGGAGGACCTGGGGGACTCTGGACACCTTGACCTCAGATAGAATAATATGACCATATCTCAAAGACCTATCCCTCTTTCCTGATGATTAAATGAGTGGGATTCAGACGGAATTGGGTTTTTAAAAGGCTGGTTCCCTTTCCTTTTCTTTCAAAAGGCTGGTGCCCTTTCCACACCCTTCCAACTGCAGCCCGTGTTTTATAACAGCAGCAAAAAACCAAAAAGTTGAGTCATTTAAATAAAGTGAGAAAACGCACACCTCTGCAATAAAATCTATATTTGATATCTATGATATAAAGCATTAAAAGATGCCTGAATGGCACTTGAACCCTTCCTGCGCTTCGCGGAGCTGGAGAGCCCTGGGCACGCTCGGCAGAGCTCAATTTGCCCAGGAAACACATCCTGGCTTGGGGCAGGGAGGGCAACTACCACCAGTGACCACCCCCAGCAGGTCTTACAGCTGCCCAAACAGGCCCAAGGACCTGAGAAGATCCACCATGGTCAAATTGCTTCACCCTACCCATGTTCAACACCTCGCCAAGAGACCACCGGCCTCGACGATTCGGGGTCACCTACCTTGTGGGAGTAATGTTGATCCACGATCCTGGCCAGCCCGAAATCACCGATCTTCAGCACCAGGTCCTCCGTGCTGATGAAGATATTGGCCGGCTTGAGGTCGCGGTGGAGGACGTTGGCTGAGTGGATGTACTTCAACCCCCGCAGCAGCTGGTACATGAAGAGCTTGGCGTGTTCCTCGGCGAGCTTCCCCTGCTCCAGCAAGCGCGCCAGGTCCGTCTCCATGTACTCCTGGACGATGTAGACCATGTTGAACTTGAAGAAATCCCCACGAAGGTTGGTCCCCTTGGGCCCCAACACCTCGTACACCTTCACGATGTTATCGTGCTCCAGGCGACGGATGATCTTGATCTCCCGGAACGCGTGCTTCATGCTCCGCGCGTCGCCGATGGTGATCTTCTTCACGGCCACTTTACGGCAGCTCTTGCTGTCGAGGGCTGAGAGCACCAACCCGTTGGCCCCAAAACCCAAAGGGCGAAAATTAACAACCCCCGCAGCAGCTGGTACATGAAGAGCTTGGCGTGTTCCTCGGCGAGCTTCCCCTGCTCCAGCAAGCGCGCCAGGTCCGTCTCCATGTACTCCTGGACGATGTAGACCATGTTGAACTTGAAGAAATCCCCACGAAGGTTGGTCCCCTTGGGCCCCAACACCTCGTACACCTTCACGATGTTATCGTGCTCCAGGCGACGGATGATCTTGATCTCCCGGAACGCGTGCTTCATGCTCCGCGCGTCGCCGATGGTGATCTTCTTCACGGCCACTTTACGGCAGCTCTTGCTGTCGAGGGCTGAGAGCACCAACCCGTTGGCCCCAAAACCCAAAGGGCGAAAATTAACGAAGCGACAACCCAGGTCGTACCCGTACATGCTGGCGATGCAGTCGCACTTCTCGGCCATCGCGGGCTCCTTCCTCTTTGGGCTCCTTCCTCTTCGTCACTCGAAAAGCTGGGAGAGTCCAAGGGCTTCCCAGTCACCAACGGGGTTTGAAAACAAGAGCCTCATTATTAATTAGAGACGCCCATCGCTTCAAGATGACAACGCAGATCAGAGAATTGCAAAATATTCATGGTTGGAAGGGACCTTTGAGATCGTTGAGAGGGAAAAGGGATGCAAGCACACACAGGCACCCCAACAAAATGTTTTAAACTGGGTGAGAAATCAAGACTTCCCAAGCAGCGCAGATAAAAGCACCCCGGAGATCTCTAGGTGACTTTTCTTGGGACTAAAAGATCAGCTCTGCTACATTTTTCAGCTTCTTTCCTGTTTTCCTTCTCCGATATCCCCCAGACGATGCCGAAGTATGGGGTGCAGCTGGATGCCCGGCCCCGCGTCCCCGATGTCTCAGTACCGGGGCAGCCGGTCGGCCCCGCCGTGGGGCAGAGCCCAGAGCAGCCCCATGGCCCCTCCGCTGCCCCACACCCTCCCCACCCACAAGTTCTGACAGTGTTTTCCCCACCAGCGAAGCGCATCCAGGCGCTGGCCGGACTCCCTGATGGTCACCAAAGCTTCACCCGTCTCGTCGCTCCCTTTTGGGTCCGGGCAGACCCCATCTTCCACATCAGTAGGTAGAAAGGAGATATTTTGGGGAGGAAAAACTCACTTTACCAGCTGTGTTTGAAATGTGAGTTTCCACGTTTGAGGTTCCAGCACCTTCCCCTCCTACGTCTTACGCCGGCGAAGCCAAGGGTTGTCTGATCCTTGCAGCCCACCAGAGGAGCTCCCTGCTATCCCGGCGTTCCCCGTTATCCCTCAGCAGGTCTCAGTCCTGCTCCTGGAAGAAAAGAGGAGATGGATTCGTTAGCTACTGGGCCCTGCTTTTGTAATGACTCGCTGAAGGTTAACCATGAGCAAAACTGTGACCTTTCAGAGCCTCATTAGTTATCCCCTCCAAAGTCACGCATCGTTAGCAGCATTTTTGCAGCTGGTTAATTTTGCCTTTTCCATTTGTAATGCACTGAAAACCGCGACTCTTCCTTTCCCCTCTGTTGGTTTTTTTTGGATTTTTTTTTTTTCTTTTTTCATTTTAATCTGTCCAAAAAACATTACGGAGCAAAGACAACACACTGTGTCCCCAGCTGCCCGTTAAAACCGCGCCGCGAGGAAAGGACAGGAGCAGCCTTCGAGGGTATGACCCCTCCTGGCTGGGCAAACAAGGTGATGCCACCCTGGTGGGTTTTGCAAAGGCCTTAAAAACCATCCCCGAGGGTGGGACACCCCCTAAAACTGGGGGTCCCACCACAAACCTGAGCAGCAGCCCCGGGGATGCCACCTGCGGTCGGGGGGAGCTGCCAACCCCTTCTGTCCAAGCTGTCCAAGCTTAGCAAGGGAAGGAGCCAGCCTGCAGCCCCCAGCTGGTATTTAGTCCTCCAGGAGGTCGTGGTTGCACGGACCCAAGAACTTCTCCACGCAAACAAGACACATCTAGGGTCCTACGGTGCCTTTTGAAAGCACAGCTGAATATATAAATATATATATAGAGAGAGAGATGAATGATATAATGTTTAAACCGTGTTTTTTTCACCTCCTGTTAATATAAAAAGACTTCATGACACCCTCGGCTTCAAGAAGCTGGAACAAACGAACGTGGACCCACCAGCAGCGAGTTGTGGCATCTCAGGAGCATAACCCCGTATTCCAACACCTCTCTGTGCCAACATGTGCTCCCCAGAGCCATGGAGGAGGAGTCTCTTCTCAAGATGCTCCAGCTTTGAAAGCATCTTCTCAAGATGCTCCAGCAAAGCATCAGAAGAACCTGCTGGCACCACGGCAGATCCCTCACCCAACTGGCTGGCAACGGCGTAATGGCCAAATAACAGCATCTGCTGGGCACGAGGATGCAGATTTAAGCAGAGGAGGATCCTCCAGCATGGAGGATCTCAATATTTGGGGTATTTTCCTGCCAAAATAGGTATTTTCCAGTGGCAGGTCACCACACAGCGGTGGCCACGGGCAAGGGAGCACCTCTTGAAGATGCTCCAGTTGGGAAAAGATGGTTCAAAGTCCTCAAAGCCCTTCTAGATAAACCACTGTAATTTTTCACCTGTAATTAGTCCATTTAGAAATAGAATTGAACAAAGTGTTAGGAAATGGCCAGGCTGTGACTTTCCACAGGGATGTCCCAGATGACCAACCACTCCCAGTGTTCCTCAGAGGGGGAAAAAGAAAATCAAATTACTGTGGGTCCGCTCCTGTTGCGTTCTTCAAGGCCAGAACGAAGCCTCTTAATGACCAGAGCTGCTCCATGAACCTGGCAGTGGGTTCACAGCCTGGTCCTTCACTCTGCACCCTCCAAGCATGGGGCATCATCCTCCTGCTCTCTGGCAGAAGTCACCCGGAGTAACAAGAGAGAAAACATCAAATATGGAGCCATCAGTCATGAAAGGTGGAGAGAACCGTGATGCTTCAGGCCAGAACAAAGCATTAAGGGTTAAAATGAAGACGTATGGACCTTATGACGACAGGGAGGGAGGGCTGGGATACCCTCTGAAGAGCATCTGCCAACGCTTCCCGAGCAGTTTGGCAAACGCCGCCAAACTCCTGGAGTTGGAAGCAAAAAATAATTACAGCCTCTCGTCAATTCAGCAATTATCTAATGCTGGCTTTTGCACGCAAGGATTGAGCAGAGAAAGCTGCTCTTGATACTAGGAAGCCAGGGAAAGCCACAGGAGAGGGGGAAGAAAAAAGGGATGAGAAACAAGGAATGGAGGAGAAAATGAAGGTAAATAAATCCTGATAAAAAAAATATCAAGAATTTTTACACGGAAAAGATTATCAAACTTTGGAAGAAGCTGCCCATGGAATTGGTGGAGTCACCAACCCTGGAGGTATTTAAAAGCCGGGCAGACGTGGTGCTGAGGGACATGGGTTAGTGGTGGTTTGGGCAGTATTGGGTCAAAGGTTGGACTCCATGATCTGAAAGGTCCTGCCCAACGTGGACGATTCCATCATTCCCTAAAAATTTCCTCCTGGCAAAAGGAACTCTGTGAAATAGCGCTTGGGTCAAGAAGGTTCCGGTGTTGGGTTTGAGATCCACCTTCTGAACCTCAGCTCTCAGCTCCACCACCCAGAAGCCACCACGTTTCTCAGCTTTTTTTGGCACCAAACCCCACAGGGTTTTTGCTGAAACCAGGTAGGGCTGGATGGGACGCGGTGCTCGCTCCCACGCCGAGCTTCTTGGCTTACTCTTGATGCAATGGAAGGAAACCAAGTTTTGCCTCGTCAGCTTAATTATTAATAATTAGTAGAGCTCTAGAAGCACTGAAAGGGAAAATGCGCCGTGGAAGACTAAAAGGGAAGAAAGAGTCCTGTTTCATCTCACGGGCAAAGCCGTGGCCTTCACGGTGCTCCTGGCTCCATCTCAGGCCCCAGCTGAGTGATGACCCTGCAGCACCTTCTTGCAATTAGAAGGGCTGGGGAGAATCACCCCATAAATGGTGACCCTGGAGGATGGGAAGCCGTGCTCCTGTCCTCGCTCTCGTGGCTGGGTCCCTCTCACTGAACCACCCAGAGAAAAGCTGCCGGTGAAGACGGGGAGATGCACCACAGCTGAGGAACCAGTGGGGAACATGCCCCCATCCATCCTACTTTTAGAGCCAGGCTCCTGAGATTTTTAGAATCGGGACCCCTTGAGCCGTACAATCCCAAGCTGGATGAATTCATTAAAGCTCAAGCGTCGTAACAAGCTGTCTGTTATTAACCACAGGTGCTAATTAAAGGAGGCTAACAGCCATCTACACCTTGTAAAGGGGCTGGATCCCCCAAACCATTACGTTCCAGTGGACTGAGATGGGGGAGTTTGGTGCCCATCGCTCCCCGTGATGGGCTTCAGGGAATCTCTCCAAGCTTTAGTCACGGTGACGGAGCTACTGAAGCAGAGGGAGATCCTGGCAAGCCTCCTGCAGCTTTTAGCTCCCAGGCCAGCGACTGCTTCAAGGCTGAAACTTAATTAGTCCTTCCCATCAATAAACACAGACTCCTGGTGCTTGGTTTCCATCACAGAGCTGGGAGGACCCATGTCCTGCCCATCCTGAGACCCTCCACGTGCTCTGACGCCTTTTCCCCAGGGAGAAAAAACACATTGGGAGATCAGATCTGGCAGATGGATCTCAAGGAAAGATGAAAACGGGGGGAAAGAACCTGCCCCAGCAAAACCAGTTCAATCTCAGCTGTTCCCCAAACCTCATGATGAACACAGCCAAGGACAGGAACCACTCAGCCTTTGAAGGATGCTGAAGGACAAGCGATGCTCTTGTGTGTGTGTCCCCAGCTACCTCGGTGGGGGGGTCTCCACCAGAGACACCCAGAATCCCAGAATGCTATGGGGTTAGAAGGGACCTCTGGAGATCATCTCGTCCAACCCCCTGCCAAAGCAGGGCCACCCAGAGCAGGTCCCACAGGAACCCATCCAGGTGGGGTTGGAATGTCTCCAGAGAAGGAGACTCCACCACCTCTCTGGGCAGCCTCTGCCAGGGCTCTGCCACCCTCACAGGAAAGAAGTTCCTCCTCATGTTATGTGGAACTTCTTATGTTCATGTTTGTGCCCATTTCCTCTTGTCCTGTCCCTGGGCACCACTGAAAAAAGCCTGGCTCCATCTTCCTGACACCCACCCTTCAAGTATTTATAGACCTTGATCAGATCCCCCCTCAGTCTTCTCTTCTCCAGACTCAAAAGACACAAGAGACCCTCAACCTTTCCTCAGCAGAGAGATGCTCCAGGCCCCTCCTCATCTTTGTAGCCCTGTCCAGCAGTTCCCTGTCCTTCTGGAACTGGGGAGCCCAGAACTGGACCCAGTGCTCCAGCTGGGGCCTCCCCAGGGCAGAGCAGAGGGGCAGGATGACCTCCCTCCACCTGCTGGTCCCACTCTTCCTGATGCCCCCCCAGGATGCCATTGGCCTTCTTGGCCACAAGGGCCCATTGCTGGTTCATGGTCATCCTGTTGTCCACCAGGACTCCTAGATCTTTCTCCTCAGAGCTGCTCTCCAGCAGGTCACCCCCAACCTGTCCTGGTGCAGGGGGTTATTCCTCCCCAGGTGCAGCACCCTACGCTTGCCCTTGTTGAAGTTCATCAGGTTGCTCTCTGCCCAACTCTCCAGCCTGTCCAGGTCTCTCTGTGTGACACCACAGCCTTCTGGTGTATCAACCACCCCTCCCAGTTTTGTATCATCAGCAAACTTGCTGAGGGTACGTTCCATCCCTTCATCCAGGTCATTGATGAACATACTGAAGAGGAGTGGACACCCCGCCCTGGTACCCCCAAAAAACCACCACAGGAACATGGGAATTTTCCTCCTGAACGGTTGGGCCACTCGTGGCCA